GAAGCTGATTGGACTCGAACTGGGCCAACGGATTAGCTGTGGGGGCCCAAGACTTGAAGAAGCCCAAAATTCCCGTCAGTACCCGCGGCCCGCGTGGATTCCTGACAAGGGCAATTTCGGGATTTTGCTTAGAGCTCTATATTGGGAAGGTTGGTGTGCCTCTTTAGGACAATCTTGGGAGGTCCGATTTTGAGCTTTTCTCTCTGGAGTTTGGAGCACTTTTGGAGGCCAAGAACACTTGAAGAACATCTTCTTTTCACCTCTTGAATCTTGTCAAATGTTTGGTACAATCTTATCTAACTTTGTTCATTTGAGTTTAGCCATGCTTGGCTAAACAAATCTTGGTTGACTTTTTGTTGAATCCTTTGAACTTTTGTTGGATGTTGAAGAATCTATGAACTTGTTCTTGAATCTTTATGGAAATGTTTTGTGTTTCATCATATTATCATTACTAGTATGTTTTTATTCATGAGTTTAAATATGTTTGTGGTGATTAGTTGGCTAATTTCTTGATTAAGTAAATGATCCTCAAATTAGCAAGCAACAAGTGATTTTTGTGTTGTTTTTGCTTCACACAATCATAAAAACAATTCCTCCAACATGGTAGTGAAAGCAATTGACTCCTCTTGGATTTGGTGATTTTTTGGTTCTTAATGCTAGTTGACTTTCACTAATTACATGCTATTTGGAATTAGTGACTTTGACTAAGGAAATTGTTATGAGCTTCTCTAGCCATTTCAACAATTAAGAAAAGTCTAGGTAATCTCAAGCTCCTTGGATTACTATAACCAAATTAAGGATTTAAATCAAAGTATTGCACTATTGGATTCTAATGATATGTTCATCAAAAGTCAAAGTGAGGAAACTTTAAGTCAACCATCTCTCCCTTATTGATTTTACATCAAACTCTTATTTTTGTTGCATTTGTCTATTTAAATCATAGTTAACTCTAGTTTGTTTCAAGTATTTCAAAACACCAAAACCCCCCATTTTATTTTTATTGTCATTTTACAAGTATTTTTACAAAGAGATTTTTCATAGAGTTATAAATTGAACCAATCTCTGTGGATTCGATTTCCTTTACCACTATACACTATTTTAGTGTGTAATATTTAGGGTTATTATTTGAGTTGGCCTCGACAACCACCAATGCCCTTAACACAACACCTCGCCAATATCTACACTTCGAGTCACCAATAGGAGGGTTCATTTTCAAATACAAAACCAATTCTGACAATATCACTCTACTCAATTTCAACATTCTCAACCCCAACCCTACTGAGCACAATCTTCTCAACCACAATCTTTCTTGACAACGACAAACCAGTACTAGAATCTCAACCACAACCACAACCATCAAGAAGAAAAAAACAAACAAAAGGTGGTAGAAATTGGATCCAAAGGCAAATAGGAAAGTGTGAAGATCCAAAATATATATACATTCTAAAGTTGTCAGAAACATAATCGAAGATGTCACGAATTTAAGTTCAATCGATGTTTCCAATGCATAAACTCATAACCTTAATAGCAGGGCGAATGAAATTTCGGATGACATTATGGAGGTCTCCCTTCCTCGAGTACCAATAAGAAGGGACAAGGCGAAGCAAGAGGCTAAACACGCAGAAGAAAGTGAAAGGGAATTAAAGCACTTGGTGGAAATAAAAAGCAAAATTCAAGAAATGCATAGTAGTGTAACAAAAGAAAAATGTATTGAGACGCGATCACATACAAGTTCTTCGATGACAAAAAGCGATTGAGTAGGAAAGGTAAGAACGAGAATTAGAACACGAACAGGAATGATGAGAGTGAGAAGACGCACTCTAACAATGACAACAACTTATCAATGACTTGGTAATTCTTACGACAAGCAACTAATGTTTGGCGTCCTCATATCTTGAAGTTTTGATAGACGTGAAGGCAAAGATTCGACAAAAAAATTAGGGGTCAAATTTAAATTAGTTATCGCTATATGTTTTTTAATTATCATAACAGTTTGTTCTTAGTGTTTTGTAATGTTTTTATTTTCAATTAAAATGTAATATTTCTTTTAAATGTTATGTTTTATGAGATTATTATGTTATAAAATTAATATTTTTAGATTAAAAAAATGAAAAAAAATGGTGTCATGGAAAATAAAACGGTGTTTTGGGTAGTTGCCATTTCCTAGAAAAAATAAAATGGTGTGCAGAATGACATGACATATGATATGTAAAATATGATGTGTAGGGTGTCACTTGGCCTCGATCATATGTGTATCTGCCCATGCCTTTATATATATATATATATATATATATATATATATATATATATATATATATATATATATATAATATGGCCTCGATGGCTTTTATATGTATGCTAAAATTACTAGGGATGAACATATGAACCGGGGAACTGGCTGGAACCGGTACCAGAACCGGAACCCGATGGAACCGGTCGAGCCGGGATCGAGATCATATTCTTGTAGATTTTTGGAATCGGGAATCGGAACCCATAGAACCGGCAAAAACCAGAATCATTTGTTGCTATTTATTAAGGATTGGTTTCAACATTGAAGACACAGCAAGAACCGGTAGGAACCGGGAACCGGTGGAATCAGAACAGGTAGAATTGGCGGTCCGGTTCGGTTCTAAATTTTGACCGACTTCGGTTCCCGGTCCGGATCCGGTTCGGGCCAGTTCCAGCCGGGTCGGTTCTTGTGTTCATCCCTAAAAATTATTGAGGTCCGGTTTCAACCCAATGCCCATAATGTTATGGATAACATATTAGTGTATTAACCAAGCCAAACCAAACATAATAGTCTTGCACGAAAACCTTATACACGATTGTGTCCACTTCCATAACCTACATCGCATGATTATGTAATTAACTCACACTTCAACCAAAGGGTTTCTAGCCCATCGGTATCAGGTGGTGCCCTCCTTCCTTGAGGTCGAGGGTTCAAGTCCTGTCGTGAACATAGGTGGAATTAGGTGTTAGTTTAGGTGTAGATTATATATTTGTATTTGCCTGTTTAAAAATAATAATAATAATAATAATAATAATAATAATAATAATAATAATAAAACCCACACTTCAAAATTCCACATCCAAAAGCCGTTCTTTTAAATATTTTTCGAACTTGCAAGATTTACAACTTTTCCTCCAAGGGAAATCTCAAGAAAAATCCCTAAAGTTTCGGCTTGTTAACGAAAAAGTTACCTCTGTTTTGTTTTGTTTTTGTTTTTTTTTTTTTTTAAACAATTAAACCTAATATACCAGTAAACTTTTGCAAAATGCCCTTGTAATGCTTATGTTTAGTGATTTTTTTGACTTAATTATAGTTAAAAAGTCATTGACGACTTTTTCGTTTATAAGGTTAAAGTTTATGACTTCTTTTTAAAAAATTTCCATTTATATATATACTAAATTTATTTGTAAAAAAAAAAACTCATATTTATTTATTAAAAAATAAAAATAAAAATGCCATCGATATCCTTTTTATTAAAAAAAAAACTCATATTTATTTATTAATTGAAAATTCTAAATAATGATCATTTATATATCATTTTAGGCTTATTTTTGGTAATTTTTTCTTCAAAAAAGTATCATAACTACAGTTATAAAGATACCATTTATATCTTATATAACTTAAAAAGAATTTTACTAATTTGTCGCAAAGAATGCGTTTCTAGTCCACATGTTACCTTTATTGTTGAATTTTCAGGTCTTGGGTTTAAAACAAAGTAACTTAGGTGGAAAGAATGACAATGGAGAGAGTTTCCATTTTTTTTCGAAATGTCCAAGTGAATGTCAAGTTGTTCTACAAAATATTACTGATACGTCAACACGTTTAAATAGCTTCAAAAAACGTTATAAGAGCTACAATAGTTATAGAAACACATGTTAAATATAATTAAGAGGACTTTTGCTAATTTGTCACAATGAACGCGTTTCTAGGCCACATAACATTTCTAATGGAGCTCTATTTGGAAGAAAAAAAAACTCTGGTAGGCTTTTATTTTTCCGACATGTCGTTTGATTTTCAGAAACTCTTCGGTACGACACAATTATAGATTGTATTTGGTTGTTTAATGGCAGCCTCTGATCTTCCATCTGCCATTCTAACAGGTCTTTTTGGGTGTAAATCAAGATATCTTAGGTGTGACCAATGACAATGGAAGGAGTTTCTACTTTTTTAGAAGTGACGCTAAGTGAATGCCAAGTTGTCATACAATACATAACTTAAATGTCAATAAGGTTTAGTGGTTGCAAAGGAGTTGTAAGTGCTACACTAGTTATAAAAACACATTTTAAATATAATTTACAACAATCAATTTTAGACCATTTTTTACATATCTAATTACGACTCAAATTCTTATTACTAAAGTCGATTCTATTATAGATACTAATTATTGACTCCTTAATGTATTAATTAACCTGAGCGTAGTCTAGAAATTTTAACATACCCATGTAACTAGATTTTGGTTTATTTCATTAGGTTTAGTTGGTTTTTAATATAATTTAAACTGACTGTAAGCAAACGTAATAAGATTCAACTTAATAAGTATGGTTAACTCTTCAACCGGATAAACAAAACAAAATTTTAATTATAAATTTTTTTCTTAAGATAAAAGGTAAGTGAAATAAACCAAAATTATGGCAATGGTTCAACAAAATATATAGGAAAAAGTTAAAAAAAAAAATCCCTACACTTTAATCTTATTAACGAGAAAGCCCTCTCGGATCATTTATTTATGATTAAGTCCAAAAAACCGGTGAACATAAGCATTGACCGGGTACACAAGCCATTTTGCAAACGTTTACAGGGGATTAGTAGTAAAAAAATAAAAATAAAAAGGAATGGCTTTTCCATTAATAGGGCCAAAGTTTAGGGATATTTTTTGAAGATTTCATTCCCCCCCCCCCCCCCCCCCCCCCTCCAATGTTTCCACATTTTTAGATTTACCTCAAAACCTCATCTTTCCCTTAAAAGAACATCATACTTTCAAAAATAATACCTTAATTCCATTTTATTTCACATTTTACTCCACCGAAATACAAGGTTCATCACATACACAAATCCATCAATTTTTAACAACTAATTAACACCCAAAAGTTTGACTAATAAGACACCTCGAATATTTTTCGAAGTGTATCTAGAATATGCTGCAACTCACGAACAACATTTTGGATGTTCATCCGATGTCGTGAGGAATCCACAGAGCATGATACTCCAATCTTGACCGTCAAAGCCAGGCATTCCTCTATTTTCTTTGCCTTTGCTATCGTATGTTGCGTAGCAATAGCATCCTCTTGAAGAAAATTCAGAAGGTTGTCATCAATAACATCGGTTACATGGTTTGGCAATGCCATTTGTGCAAACTTATGAAGACTTAGACCTTCCGTAAAGATGTTGTCTGTCGGCCTTTTTCTTGTCATCACCTCCAACAATAGTATTCCGAAGCTGTAGACATCCCCACTACTTGTCATCTCACTCGCAACACCATACTCTACAACTTATAAGTGATTAAGATTTGAACAGCCTAACATTGTAAATAATTATAAGCATCTGCGAATAGAACTTTACCTGGTGGTGCATACCCAATTGTTCCTCTGATGTCACTTGTATTGTTTTGGTTTGACTTTGTTCCAAGAAATCGAACCAGACCAAAGTCCCCAACATGGGCCACCATATCATCATCCAGTAGAATATTGCTAGGCTTCAAGTCGCAGTGAACGATGGGTGGTAGGCACTGATTGTGAAGATAATCAAGTGCGGATGCGACATCGATGAGAATATTTGTTCTTTGGAGAAGGTTTAGTCTGGATGTACTTTCACGTGAATGCAACCAGTCATTTAAACTTCCATTGGGCATGAACTCGTATACCAAAGCTTTGAAGTCCTTTCCTTGAAAGTCAACACTTGAACATGAAGTTATTATCTTCAATAGATTCCGGTGTCGAATGCTCCTCCATGCGTCACACTCCGCTATAAAGCTTTTGTGAGCACCTCGGTTTTGAAGATGAAGGACTTTAACTGCAACGATTCTATTATGATCATGATCTAGGATTCCTTTATAGACAAAGCCAAACCCACCCTCTCCAATCAAGTTGGCTTCGGAGAATCCATCGGTGGCCTTGAGAAGTTGACCGTATGATATTCTCATAAAGCGTTCATCTCTTGATGATTGGGAGGGTTGGCCCTTCCTTTTCTTGCACCAAGCATACGTAAAAAATAAAATACTGAGAAGGGTGGATGCAATAATAATGACTGTTACGAATAAAGGAAGCGGTTTTTTTATTTTTCCATGTCTCCTTGCACATGGGCAACCCAAGTTCAGCCAAGCCACCACAAAGCCTGCTATTCCCCAAAACAGAGAACGTATTAGCATTGGCAAACACTCCTCTCACCGGTACCTCACCTTCAAAATCATTAAAGGAAAGGTTTACATATTCAAATGAGAACCGTTCCAAGAATTGAGGAACACTTCCTGATAACTTATTATGGGAAAGATCGAGTGTCTTAACTCCTTTCATGGAACTTAATGATGAGGGTACCATGCCCATAAAGAAGTTGCCTTTGAGGGATAAGAATGAAAGGCTAGTGCAACTACCAAGGCTACTAGGAAGGCTACCTGATAAATTATTATTAGACAAATCTAGAGAAGTCAACATCTTGAGTTCGCCAACCTCTGTTGGAAGTGACCCTGACAGGCTATTTTGAGAAAGATTTAACATAATGGTTAGAGATGAAATTTGAAGAAGTTCTTTAGGTATTGTACCGCTGAGTGTATTATCATTAAGCCACAACTCCAATAGATTATGACAATTTCCCAGGTTTGATGGAATATGCCATTCCAATCTATTGGAATCTAAAGCAAGTCTATTTAACAATGATAAGTTCCCTATGGCATCTGGAATTGGCCCAGAAAATTGGTTCTCAAATAGATAAGTTTCTTGTAGCTTGTAAAGCTTACCGATCGTAGAGGGGATTTCTCCATTGAAATGGTTATCTGCTAAATCTAGTTGGGTCAAGCCAACTAGATTACCTATACTTGAAGGGATGTTTCCATATAAATGATTTCCTCTTAGAACTAGTCTACGAAATTGATCAGATAGATTACCAATTGATGTGGGCAACACTCCTTGAAACTTGCAATTATGAAGATCCAACGAAACTAATCTGCTGCAGTTTTTTAAAGTATTAATAAACTGCATATCATCTGATTCTCTTCCGACTCCAAAGGTGTTATCACCCAAGTGTATTCTATAGATATTTTTTAGTTTTTCAAAGTTGATATTCAACTTCCCACTAAAATTGTTGTAGCTCAGTTGAATGTCTACTAGTTTCGAACAATTAGATATCGAGGGTGGAAGAGGTCCGGTCAGTTTGTTATTCCGTAACTGAAGAAACACAAGATTCGGGAGCATTTCGCCTAAGGCTGAGGGAAGACTACCGGTAAGCTGATTCTCAGCCAAGGAAAAATCGGTTAGGAGTGAGAGGTTAAAAATGGAAGGAGGGATGGTTCCAGATAAGTTACAAATACCAGAGTCAAACTGAGTTAAGCTTTTCCAATGGCCTAAGGTGTCCGGAATGCTCCCACCCAACGGATTATTCGTTACATCAAACACTTCCATCGATGTTATATTCCCCAAGGCAGGCGGGATTCCACCTGTTAACTCGTTATAACTAACTGAAATAAAATTAAGTTTGGAGAGGAAACTGATCTCTTCTGGTATGCTTCCAACTAGCTTGTTATCACCGAGTCCAAGCTTTTCAAGTTTAGAACAACCAGATAAGTTAGTTGGAATGACTCCCGTGAAGTTATTATGGCTAAGTTGGAGGAAACGTAACCTGGATAGATGGCCGAGTTGATGAGGGATGGTTCCTTGAAAGGTGTTGTTCCATAGAGAAAACAGACGAAGGAAGCTGAGGTTCCCTACATAAGGAGACAACACGCCTTGTAGGCCCCGCGACTTCAGTACTACAGCAGTCACTCTTCTGTGACTTTTCCCGCATGAAACACCAATCCAATCACAGAAATGAGAGGAAGCGTTCCATGAGCTTAGAGCTTCTTCATTCCTGATCATTGACTTGAACTTCAACAAAGCCTGATAATCGGTCTCGTTACTAGAAAAAGAGATGGTGGAGGTAATCAGAGATACAACAAGACAAGAAAAGAGGAAAGCCATAATAGAGTTCATTTTTGGAACTAAATTCAGGAGTACAAGGATAACTGCTGAGTTTTAAATTTATAATCGGTTTTTCATCGCATGTAGATGGTGAAATGAAAGCCATCAACCAATTCCATATCACCTTGACCAAGACAAAGTGAGGATCCAACTTGTTTAATAATTTATAGCAAAAACTCAATATGATTAATTAAATTTTAATCATAAAATTCTCTTCACTTAACTACAAAAAGATGAAAAGAAGAACTCCCTCCTTAGGTTTAGAGAAATAATCAAATAACCAACTATTTGATTTCATCCATATATCGTCTCGACCAAAATACAACTAAATTTTGAGGTAATACACACTAATTAATACTACTTATCTTGCCAAATTACATCAACCCATGCATTACAACTTTATTCAACTCTTTTCAGAATTGAAGTTTAAAGTTACACCCACACCATATTTTGAATGATTCACATAACTATTTTATGTTTAACGTAAAAAACAAAATTTAATTTACACGTAATATGTCATTTAAAAAAATCACACCAAGATATTCTTAAAATAAATGAGATGATCTGAAATTCGATTTTTTAAATTGTTATGATATAAATAAAAGGTATATCAGAAAAATATAGATTAAAATGTAATATAGAAAATTACAACAAAAAGAATACATAGTATTACAACTAAATTGATTAAAATTTTACATGATTTGTTGTTGCAATGATATTTGCTATTTATGTAAGATGATGGTACGTTTTATAGAAAATGTATCTAAATGCCATAAGTTTGTAGGGATCTTCTTTATTATAGTCTTTGTTGGTTAAACTACATCAAATAGCAACGAACTATACTATGTTTACCAATATAGGCAAAATACTTTGTGTTTTTATCCACCATAGCAACCAACTTGTATCTTTCTATAAGTATAGACAATATGATAGTTGGCGTGACACAGGTTCTTGCGACATCATCTTTCACATTATATATCTAATGTACAAACACAATTACATGGAATTTTCTTTAATCCAATTAGTTTGTAACTTTTATATTTATTCAAGTTATTTATTTTACCTATAGAGGCTTAGCACCTGAACCACCGTCCAGTTTTTCAAGATGTTGGTTCTCCTATATATATTGCTAGGGCCTAGGGCTTTGCTTAATTTTTGTATAAACCGTGAGACTACCAACTCTGAAGTTGTGCGAATATGCTCGATGGATGTACCAAAAAACAAGACACCAGATATGAATGCAACTATATACAGAATATATATGAGGAGTTGAGCTTTAGTTTTTCGGGTTTTAATTCAACTTCAGTTAATTTTTTGGGTTTGGGTTACGATGTTATTGTAATTTAGGCACCCGATAGTGGTTAAAAGGGTGGTATATTTGGTTCTGGTTTAATTTGTGGCTAGAAAAAGTGGAGTTGGTGGGTAGAAGTGGTTTCAGTGAGTAAAGAAATTATCAACAAAATATTGTTAAATGCAGCATGGCAGCGGGCAGGCAGCTCTCAAGTAATTAAAAAAAAAAAAAAAAAAAGTGACATCAGCATTTTTAACAGGTCAGCAATAAAAAAATTAACCGGGTAAACGGTCAAATAGATACCTGAATTATTATGTAGAAAAATGCAAGTAGGTTACTAATGTATCTTTTTATAAGAGTGGTCAAGTTAGTTCGTTGGTATATTTGTCGCAATTGGCCTATTTTTATTTGGCTAAGAATAAATTTTCCCAATAATTATTTTCTGCATTTAAGTTTGACTAACAAAATGGAACGCACCAAGTCTTCTAACCGTCCTTGGTAATGATCCAATCCTTTTTTTCACGATTAATCTTGTAACAGGTACTTTAATGGATAAATAAAAAAAGTAAAAACTTTTAGGGTTTTACTTTCTCTCTAAAAGAGTCAAATAATCAATCGAGCAATCTTTAGGGTAGCGCCAATTGTTACTAAAGTGATTTAACATAAGGCTAATGTTTGAAAGTATCTGCATTCTTCAAGGGAGATATGTTCAATAGAATAAGCTGCTTGTCGTGGATAATCGGTTGAGTAATCGCTTGTCATGTTACGTTTCCGTGAGTTATTAACGGTATCAAAACAAATGGGCTGGATCTCTTTCAGGACCTAATCGAGTTGATAAATTAAATAACTCAGTGAGTCCTATAAATCCTCTTTGGGCCGTTTTACGAAGCTATTTGGTATACCCCAATCTTATCATTTCATCCCATCCATTCATATTACAGGGATGTTTGGCAAAATAATAATAATAATAATAATAATAATAATAATAATAATATTTATTACTTATTAGCTTATTAGCTAGGTATAAGCTAAGAAGTTAAAATGAGTTAACTAATAAAAAAATGACTTAAGCTTTCCATCATAACAAGTTATTTTTTATGTATACACCTTTTTAGTTTATAACAGAATGAAACTACTAATAAACTAATAAACTTTTTAAATAAGTTTAGAAAAACAACCCTTTAATCAAACTATCCAAATCCATCCAAGTTATCTTCTTCAAGATTTCCCATTTCCTCTATAGCTAATTAGATGAAGATCCATATGTTACACAGTTTAAAACTATATATATATATATATATATATATATATATATATATATATATATATATATATAAACATTGAGAACCTTAGTACCTCAAATGATGTGCCTCTAATAGATCACAAACACCAAAGCAAGTTGAACAATGCTAGAGAATACTAAATGATCTCTTTTTCCAATGGCCTAAGGTGTCTGGAATGCTCCCACCCAATAGATTTCTGGCTGCAGAGAACACTTCCATCGCTAGTATATTCCCCAAGACAGGAGGGATTCCACCTGTTAAGTTATTGCTAGCAAATAGAAAATTAGTAAGTTTTGAGAGAAAACTGATCTCTTTTAGTATGCTTCCAATTAGCTTGTTATCATGGAGTCCAAGCTTTTCCATATCAGAACACCCAGAAAAGTTAGTTGGAATGACTCTGATGAATTTGTAATATGTAAAAAGTTATTTCATAAATAATAATGTATAAATGTATATTAAACTTATAGAAAATAATTAATTAAAATGTTTATATATTGTATATTTAATTTTTAAATATGAATGCAACACTTTCATTAGTATCAATTAAAATATAAAATTTAATAGAATATGTTGCATAAAGGAAATATTAAAATAAGGTATAATACTTCTTCAGATGAATTGGAAAACCATTAGTATTATCACAATACATTGTTGTGAAAATTTTACATTAATTGTAAATTTTTATCTAAATTTTTGTGAAAATTTTACATTAATTGTAAATTTTTATCTAAATTTTTGTGAAAAATTGTTTCATAGTGACCATTTATGACAATTAATATATTAAAACACGAACTATATATGTAAATTATATAAATCATTTTATCAATAAAAATTTGTTGTTTTTCAATGATTGAATTGTTATATTCGTTTTTAAGGTTACAATAAAAAGTATCTATACAACGGAAAAAACTAACAAAATGCTCCATTACTGCAAGATGAAATTCACACCAAATTATTGTATATGTTCTTTTGATTTCAGCATTGGTCTGAGTACTGAGTTTTTCCAATATAGTTTTAGCAAAAAAAAAAATGTTTCCTATTATTAGTCAGACACATCATGTTTTTGATTGAAAACACCATCATTTCCTTTCAGGTAACATTTCTTGAAATGCAATGGAGTTTCACTTTGTTCCAAACTCCACCATCATAATTTTATTATGAAATTTTAGGAACCTGATGACTATAGCTACTTGGAAAGTGTGTTGTAATGCTCTTTTTAACACACTTTAGGAAGTTAGTTTTACTCCCAGAAGCTAAATGAGCCTACATCAACTAATCAATAGAGGTGTAGATAGAACAAAGAGAATAACAGCAAAAAAATAACAAAAAAAAGCTAAAAACATTTATTTATGAACCCATTTTGCATTGTTAAGCATCAAGACTTACTAAGACATAATAGAACCCATGAAAAGTTGCAGAAGGAATGCATAGCCAACTTACATCAAGTCATTAGCTAGTAAAAAGTACAACTTGTTTTGCATCATCATCATAAAAAAAGAGTCAACAAATCAAGTGATCGCTTCTTTCATGGCAATCCTTCCACTAATTCTTCTTACAAGAAGAAAATTTAGATTATGTTCTACTATCGGGAAAAAAATGCCAAATAACATTAACTAACGCCATAATATTAAGTTATTAACCAATACTTTTAGAGTGGATAAAAAATAAACTGCTATAAACAAAGTAATTAAAATCTAAGTGTTTGTTGGGGGTATTTTGGACAGTTTCAAGCAAAAAGGAAACAAAATCATAAAAAACAGTAAATTTAAATCAGTATTCAGTTCCATTTTTGATCAACCCATTTTGCATTATCAACATGTCATGTAAGAACCTCCTAAAATAAAAAAGAAACAATCTATACGGAATTGTGATAATTTTTTTTGCCCATTTAGAGATAATGAAAAATGAATATACCGTGAAATGAGTCTTCTCACCTCAACTTCCTAAACCACGCACCTTTCATAAGAATAAAAAAACTCTTTTCATCTATTCTTTTCCCTTTAAGGTAAAGTTCCATATTGCCAATGAACATCTCAATGCCCTTGAGAAAAGAGCTTGTATTTTTATATGATTCTTATAAAATCCCTGAAAAATGAGCCCAAAATTGTATAAGAATAAGAATATAGTTGTACAAAAATACTAAAAGTTAATACATACTTACCATCCTTCGGGAATCACTGACCACATCTACATTGGGCAAAGTTGGAAATGTAGCAAAGCCATTTGATAAATACCAATTCGGTATAAGGCTTATTCTTGTGTTGGCAATCTGGTGTTCTACAAGAAAGAAGGAATATTTTAAATAAAAAGTTTAGATACAATGAAAAATTAAATACTATAACCTTATATTAAAAATTTAGATACAGTGAAAAGCAATGAATTTATGATAAAAAAAAAATAGCTGCAAACTAATGTAGATATTTTGGTTCAAGCGTTTTGTCAAACACTTAGTATGTATTTCCCTGTGTCACGTTACCTTATTTTATGAGGCCAACGACTCTGTCTTGCACAACTCTCTAAACACCATTGCTATCATCTTTCTATCATAAACAAATTACAATAAGAAAATAGTGATAGATGAGGTAACGATAATATAAGAGATGATTCACTGACCATATAAAAGTCGTCCAGACCTGCCCTCATTGAGGAGGAAGAAGGAATTACCAGTTGAACAAAATCAATATTAAAAAAAATCCATAGGGTTTAATATCAAGAATTTGTCCAAACATGAGACCCTCTTGAGTTGCCATTTCTATTAAATCGTACTCAAAATCAGCAAAATTTCATATTTCTAACACCTAATTGCTTTATAATACTCACTGGTAGCTTCCTACAAGGCTCTAATACTTTGTCGAGATGTTCCATTGTTTTGTATAATTAGCCCTACAAAAAATAAAGCCCCGTCATAATCAAAACAGAATAAAAACAGTTGAAATTAATCGAAAAATCAAACAAAGTTATTGTAGTAAAGTTTTTAGAGTCTCATAGATAGAGGAAGAGAGAAAGAAGATTAGATTCATACCTAATAAGGTCGATTTTAATAGAGGGTGAGAGCGTAGATAGAGGAAGGGTGGTGACGGTGGGTATAACGAATCCTAGTAGAACAGTGTGTAGCGGAGATACAACTATCATTAGGTCCGACGACAAGAACCAAAAACCCTTGAAGCATGAGAATTTTGAGGGTTTGAAGGAGGAAAGCGACGGTGTGTGGTAAGAAGGAAGGTGGAGTGAAAGAATTGGAAAGAAGAAGTAGTCATACCTTAAATTGAGGGCTGCAAATCTTGACATATGAATCGATAAAAGGGAATAGACCGATATTTAGGGAATGCAGGTGAAATTGGGGCAAAACAATCAGGTGTATTTTGAATTCCCGATCTTTAGGAATCACAAAATTGAAGGAACTGAGAAAAAATCGTGGGAAGAAGTTGAAAGAAAAGGACAATACGGTGAAATAAAGCAAGGGCAAAATTGGTATTTTACTTTGTATGAAATAAGTGGTTTTGAGTGGACATGTGGCAAAATGATTTTGTTTATTAGACAGGAGATATGTATTCATTTCACATTAAAAGACATGCAACAAGTTTCCACACCCGTTTTTGAATATAGATACAATAAATTATATGATCTTAGTGACACCACTGGTCGTCATACTCAACAACTATGACTTTTACAACTTATCTATCCTACAACGGCAACATATCGTCTTTAAAAAGTAAAGCTTTTAGAACTTTCAAGTAGTCCTTAAAGGGTTGAACCACCTTTCCTGTAATGGGTTTACCTTAAGTTATTTGAACCCTACATTTTGTGGAATGCTCGATGTCCTGTCAGAACTCAAATATAGAAGAATTTGTTTTATTTATTTTATTTTTTTGGTTTTTAAAGCATTTTTACTTTAAACAATGTAAGTTATGCTCCACTAAAAAATAAGCAATAATACAATAAGGATAGTGCGAGTAGATAACTAAATCAATGGACTCAACAAAGGAATTGAATACTATTAATTTGGTTTCACACCACCTCTTTACGTATAGACTTCAAGAATGCCCAAAAAAATTGTATCCTTCTATAAACACAAGGTCTTTAGTTGGTTGTTACATAATAAATATGAAACATCCCTCACATAAGTTGTTTAAAAAAAAGATTTGGTTAAAAATGGTTTATAAAATCTTTAGATTTTTATTCAAAATGGTTTTAATGTTCGAAAAATACGAAAATCTGGTCCCAAAGTCAAAAACATAGAGTTTTTTTTGAACGACCGGTTAGTTGTTAGATGTTAATTTCACCAAGTTGGTAAATTTCCAAGAGGCTTCCAACCAAGGGGACTAGTCCCACATTGGCTCCAAAACATAGTTAACTAGTTAAAAAAGCTAGGTAATGTCAATTAACATCATAACATGTCAAAATGAAACCACTAGAAAGTCGTAACCTTCTAAATATCCTCGTTGTCTTATCCTTCCATAATCAGATAAAGGGTTTGTTAGACCCATAGATCAAGGTATAATACATCCATAAGGCTAACAGTGTGTTAGCTTTGACTAACAATCAACTTTCAAAACTGTCAATTTTAGATTTAAATCTTTTTTTCATATATATGAAGTCCACAACTTTTATTTATCGTGAATTTTTTAAATGGTCCCTTATTTTATAAAAGTCTTATGGTCATCCTCTCCAAAAGGAATCCTCATGTAAAATATGATCTGCTGTATAAGAAAATACTATATCGTGGTATAGCCTCCTCCTTGAGGAATGATACTTTGAGCATTCATTTTTTGGAATTGACATGCACAAACGACCAAATGTATTTCATCCACACATTTCATATTTGTTTTGGCCAATACAAATTGATAACAAACATTTTATATTATCACAGTTACAGGCTACAAATATAAAACATTGATCGCATTTACACCCAATAAGGCAACCAAATGTGTAGATCTTATAAAAACAAATACGACTAATATTTGTAATGGCATAAGTAACAGGAGAGAAGATGACATGTCATATTTTGTGATGGCAGTTACACCGTGCCTATGAACAAATTAACTAAGAAAGAGTCCTTTATTTCTATTCACATAAGTAACAGGAGAGAAGATGGCATGTCAGATATTTTGAAGCATTTCCAAAATATGCTGCAATTCATGAACAACATTTTTGATGTGCATCCGTTGTGGTGGGGAATCCATGGAGCATGATACTCCGATCTTGACAGTTAAAGCCATACATTTCTCTACTTTCTTTGAATATGCTAACGTAGATTGTGTAGCAATAGCATCCTCTTGAAGAAAATTCAGAAGTTCATCATCAATAACATCGTTTACATGGTCTGGCATGCCCATGTGTGCAAACTTATGAAGGCTAAGGCCTTTGCTAAAGATGTCGTCTGTAGGCCTCTTCCCAGTTATCACCTCCAACAATAGTATTCCAAAACTGTAGACATCCCCACTACTTGTCATCTCACTCCCGACACCATACTCTGCAAATTAATTGTAAGAAAGTACTTTAGAAAAGAGTAATATACTGCAAGTAAATATTGGCATGTAGGAATACGTGAACTTTGCCTGGAGGTGCGTATCCAATCGTTCCTCTAATGCCACTTGTGCTGTTTTGGTTTGAATTTGTTCCAAGAAATCGAGCTAAACCAAAGTCTCCAACATGGGCCACCATATCATCATCCAACAGAATGTTGCTAGGCTTCAGGTCACAGTGAATGATGGTTGGCAGGCATTGATTGTGAAGATAATCAAGTGCAGATGCGGCATCAAGGAGGATTTTAATTCTTTGAAGAAGGTTTAGCATGGATGTAGATGCACTTGAATGCAACCAATCGTGTAAACTCCCGTTGGACATGAACTCGTATACCAAAGCTTTGAAGTCATTGCCTTGGTAGTCTACACTTGAACATGAAGTTATTATTTTAACTAGATTCCGGTGTCGAATACTCCGCCACACTTCACACTCTGCTATAAAGCTTCTGTGGGCACCTCGGTTTTGAAGATGTAGAACTTTGACTGCAACAATTGTATCATCATCAAGGACTCCTTTGTAAACAGAGCTGAACCCACCCTCACCAATCAAATTGTCTTTGGAGAATCCATTGGTGGCCTTGAGAAGTTGACTGTATGATACTTTCAAGAATTGTTCATCCCTTGATGCTGGATACGCTTGGCCCTTCCTTTTCTTACACAAAGCATACACTAAACACAATACAGTGAAAATGATGGATGCGGTAAGAATGACTATTACAAACAAAGGAAGCCTTTTTTTATGTTTCCCCTTCGCCTTGCATTTGGGCAACCCAAGTTCAGCCAAGCCACCGCAAAGCCTACTATTCCCCAAAACAGAGAATGAACTTCCATTTGCAAACACTCCTATCACAGGTACTTTACCCTCAAAATTGTTAAAGGATAGGTTTACATATTCAAATGAGAATCGTTCCGAGAATTCAGGAATTTGGCCTGATAAATTATTATGTGAAAGATCGAGTGTCGAAACTCCTCTCATGGAACTAACTGACGATGGTATTTCGCCTTGAAATAAGTTACCTTTGAGGGATAAGAATACAAGGCTAGTGCAATCACCAATGCTACTAGGAATGTTACCTGATAAAGTATTATTAGACAAATCTAGAGAAGTCAACATATTGAGGTCGCCAACCTCTGCGGGAAGTGACCCAAACAAATTGTTTTGAGAAAGATTTAACATAATGGTCAAAGATGAAAGTTGAACAAGTTGTTTAGGTATTCTCCCGCTGAGTTGATTGTCATCAAGGTGCAACTCCAATAGATTACGACAATTTCCCATACTTGATGGAATATATTCCAATCTGTTGGAGTGTAACCAAAGGTTAGTTAACAATGATAAGTTCCCGATGTCATCTGGAATTGGCCCTGAAAATTGGTTCTTAGATAGATCAGCATTTTGTAGCCTTTGAAGCTTACCAATGGTGGAAGGGATTTTTCCTGTTAAACTGTTCTCATCTACATATAATGTGGTTAAGCCAACTAGATTAGCTATACCCGAAGGAAGGTTTCCATATAAACGATTTCCTCCTAAATTTAAGTAAGCGAGTTGATCGGAAAGATTACCAATTGATGTCGGCAACACTCCTTGAAACTCGCAGCTAGAAAGATCCAAAATCTCTAATCTGCTGCAGTTTTTTAAAGTATCAATGAACTTCATATCATCAGCTTCTCCGAATCCATAGATGTTATTACCCAAGAGTAACTTATAAATATCTCTTAGTTTTGCAAAGTCAATTGTCAACTTCCCTATAAAATTGTTGTCCACCAATTCAAGAATTCCTAATTTCGAACAGTTTGATATCGAGGGTGGAAGAGGTCCATTCAGTTGGTTATTTCGTAACTGAAGGAACTCAAGGTGAGGGAGCATTTCACCCATGGCTGAGGGAAGACTACCAGTAAGCTGATTAGCAGACAAAGAAAAATTAGTTAAGAGTGAGAGGTTATAAATGGAATGAGGGATTGTTCCATACAAGTTACAACCACCACAGAAGAATTGTATTAAGTTTTTCCAATTTCCTAAGGACCCTGGAATGCGCCCACCAAATGGATTGTCGGCTGCAGAGAAGGTGATCATTGATGTTATATTCCCCAAGTCAGATGGGATTCCACCTGTTAAATTATTATGATGAAGGCTAATAAAAGCTAGTTTGGAGAGAAAACTGATCTCTTTGGGTATGCTTCCAACTAGCTTGTTATCATGAAGTGCGAGCTTTTCAATGTTAGAACAACGGGACAAGTTACTTGGAATGAATCCATCGAATTTGTTAAAGCCAAGATCAAGGCCTCGTAGCCTTGATAGACGACCCAGTTCATGAGGGATCGATCCTTGAAAACTATTGTTTTTTAGAGAAAACAAACGAAGGAAGCTGAGGTTCCCTATATAAGGAGACAACGAGCCTTCTAGCCCTTGCGACTCCAACCATAGAGCAGTGACTTTTTTATTCTGCTTCCCACATGAAACACCACTCCAATCACAGAAATGAAAGGAAGAGTTCCATGAGCTTAGAGCTTCTTCATTCCTGATCATAGACTTGAACTTCAACAACGCCTGATAATCGGTCTCGTTACCACCACCAAAAACAGAATTGGTGGCAAAAATCAGAAATATAACAAGATTAGAAAAGAGGAAAGCAATATGATCAGGGTTCATTTTTGCAACTAAACTTGGGAGTTGTTTTATTTCTATTTTTTTTGAACAGCAAAGTCGGATGGATACAAAGATAATAGTATGCCGGCTTTAAATTTATACTCAGGTTTTGCATGTTAATATACGTGACATGAAAATGATAAAATGAAAGCTACCCACAAATTACTTATCATCTTGAATAAGATAAATTGAGGGTCCTACTGGTCAAATAATATATAGCAATAATTCGTGATGATGATGAAATGTTTGTCAACATATTTCCAGCCATTAGTGATTTGTTTTGTATATAAGAAAGTCTAAGAGTAATAAAAAATAACTAAATACTATGATGTTTATTGTAGGAATTGTCACAGACAAAGAGTAAGTACAAAGCTTCAAACCAAAGAGATCATGATCATACTTACAACCAAGCATTTTTAACTTTTTTATAACAAGCGTTTAGACAAGTTGAGGCTGATAAGGGAACCATTATATCCAAGACTTTAACTTTATATCTTGTTTTTCTTTTTCATTATTATTGTTATTTATTACAGATATGAACGTTTTGTTATTCTATTAGAGATGATGTTATGAATTTAATAGCTTTATTTTAGGATTGGATAACCGAGTGTTATAACCACAACCAGAAACAAAACAACTTGTTGGCATTGAACCTTACCTTTTACACTTCATAATGAATGAGAATAAACATTATTCACCCACAAATTGAACATTTCTTGTGATTCTTACAGAAAATAGACAGACAAACAGAACAAATATACCCCCTGTTGATTGTGTTTTTGTGACCACAACATCTGCAAAAGTATTGGTAAGTCTTATAGTAAAACTTAATTTGTATCACATAATAATAGTAATATATAAAACCAACTTATAAAGCCCGAAAATCTACATCAACAGGCTTTGGGAGTTATAAGAAGCTGCGGGAATGCAAATTTGTCGCAAAATCTGTTTGCATGCAAACAAAACAAATTATTAATGACTATAAAGTTATATATTGTTGTAAAACTAGTGTAATTTTTTCTTTTCATATGAAAATATTATTACTGAAGAGGGAATAGAAGTCACATACTGTTAGATATTGGAGCAGTCCATCCAGCTGTTGCGGCTTTAGATAAACACCTCCAGTGATATAAGAAGCCTGTCACCCATATATTAATAATAAACAATTAATTATTATACCAATAAAAAGCTACACCAATTATAAAATATAAATCTATGTGCCACCTGTTGCAGGAATGCAGAATGTCGTTGTGCCCCAGACACAGGAATCTATAGGCACCATTGATCTTTGAGCAGAAAAAATGAATTCATAATAGCAACATATCTGTGAAATATATAAAATCTTTTTGAGTAATCATAATGACAAAATGAAAATGAAAAAAAAAAAGTTTGTAGACATAATGTCTAGGTCCATCTTGTGATCCATGCAAACACAAAATACGTAATCATTTATTGGTGATTGGAAGGTAATTTTTATATCATAAAGTATTTACGTAATGGATTTAGCATTGATGAATGCACAAGAACTAACCAAGGTGGTGAATGAAGCAATCCAAAACGAAATACTCGTTGTATGTCTAATCATTGTTGTTATTTTTGACAATCTTGTCAGATATTAAACATAAATGGGTCAAATGCAAGAAATAGCATCGTACTTTACTGATTTGTTTATAATACCATCCAACTTTCATTTTTTCCAGTTACAAAGTTGTACTTTGGCTATATGTCTAATTATCATTGTTATTTTAAACAATCTCCTCATATATTAATCATAAAAGTGTTCAATAAAAGAAATAGCAACGTACTTTCTTGGATTTGTTTACTATAGCAGCCTATTTTCATGTCTTCCTATGACACATTCTACCTAATTATATCAATATCAATGTCAATTGCACTGCTATAATGGGGTAGATTTTTCAAAGTATGATATCGTAATAAAAAAATTAAAGAACAATGCTATATTTTGGTAGAGTTTTAAATGTATAAAAGATTGTACTCTAAAAAAGCCACTAAGTTATAGCACTGTACTTTCATTTTTTTTTTCTTATTAGCACATTATTTTATGAAAATCTACCTAATGATAGCATTGTAATTATTATTTTTTTTTATTATTAGGACTTTGTACTATGAGAAGTCTACCCAATTATAGCACTATACTTTTTTTTTCTCTTAATAGGATATTATACTCTGAGAAATTTACCCATGTATAGCATTATTTTGTCTATTAATAGGACATTGTACTCTGAGAAGTATATCCAATTATAGCATGTCACTTTTGCATTTTCATTCTTTTTCCTTATTAAGACACTATACTCTGAGAAACCTACCTAATTATAACACTGTACTTTTTTTCTTATTAGGATGTTGTACAATGATATCCTCTTCCAATTATCACTTACTACCTTCATTATTTTTCTTATTAAGATATTATACTCAGAGGAAAATACCAAACTATAGCATTCTTCTTTCAATTTTTTCTTATTATTACATCATACTAATAAAATCTACCCAATTATAGCATTGTAGTATTGTACTTTCCTTTTTTCTTATTAGGACATTATACATTGGAAAAGCTACAATGACGTACTATAAATAAATGGAAGTAGTATGCTATAATGTAACGTCTGTGTTTCTGGGCCTGTCATTAATGATGATATAATAGTCTATGTTAACCTTTGTAACCCGTTTTGAAATAATAGAAGTGTATTGTTTGAGTATTATGTGTTTTGTGCTTAATTGCTTAATTATGTGGTTTGATTAATTAAGAATAAAAATAAGCATCAAAATTTAAGTGTAAAATAAACTTGATATCTTTAGATAATGTTGTAGTAGTTGAAATGAGGTTTTCGAAGATATAAAGAATGCCAAAATCCGAGTTATAACGAAGAAGTTATTACCTGTCGAAGTTTCGCGACAGAACCGGCAACGCTGAATGACGTAAAAAGTGAAATTTACGTTAGAGCGATATTTAGCCTTAGTGATCTAAACGAGAATCGAAGATCTCGTTGTTAGTATCGAAGCGATAAAAAGTTAGGTGAGAACGGACGTCAAACGAAGAAGTTATGAATTTATAACGGAATTTTCTGTCCCGGCCTATTAAAAATAAAGTCAAAATTAGCCGACGGAGTCTAAACGAAAGTTGTAGAGCGTAGTCTCACCTTCGCGTGGATATAAAGAACGTCGAAAACGGAGTTCGTATGAAGAAGATATGAATTTTCGAAGTTTATTAAATAATTAATAATTAAATTTAATTATTAAATCCGGCATTATCCGAAGAGGAGTCACCGTACTCATCCAAAGTACACCCAACGTACTAGCGTACGCCCCGCGTACAGCGAAGCATGACACGCCTCGCACTCAAGTTCTTCGGATGACGCATGCAGTGACGAATTCGGAGGCTTACGCCCCGCGTAAGGCAGTACGCCCCGCATACTCCGAGGCTCCAGCCTCCTATATATAGGATGTGAGGCTGCCGAGTTCCTTTGCTATTTTTCTCTCTTCTCTCTCCCGTTTTGCATCGATTTGCGTGCTAGAAGTATCCCGAAACCCCGGTAATATTCCCAAGTCCCGAAGCAAGTCCCGAGATCCCGAAGATCCCGAGAAGTGCGGTTCCCGAGCCGAAGCTCTACCCGCGAGAAGTTCGATTTTTGTGAAGATCTTCCAGATCTGATGAGGATTTCTACTTCTACGAGCCGTAGTGTTGTCCGATCATCTTCTGATCAAGTGAGTGTGTAGTTACTTTCTTCTAACGCATAATTATGAAGTATTTTATACGAAATACGTGTTATGTGTATATTTTGTTGTTATGTGTGTGAATGTATATTCACTTTCTTCTATCTTATAGATCTGATTATTTCCCAATGAAATACGTGTTATGTGGGTGTGCCTCATCTGTTATATGGAAAATGTATTGATTGAGCATGCTATACAAGTTTTGAAACTATGTATAAAAATGTATGTTTTATCTACTAATATGTTGGGTAGAACATGGGTAGATAGTTGGTGTGTAATAAACAGATGAGAGGCCTCGATGTTGTTTTGATCCAGTCATCTAGCGGAATTTAGATGATGACCACAGACTTTTCTAAACAGTCCAGTGGAACGCTAGCAGGCTCATAACCTGTATGTGTTAATGAACTTGGGTGTTCATTCGTTGTATTCCATCCCCCTCATGGTTTCCTTATTTGACTTATATTGCTGAGGAACCCCTGAAGCATGTGTTGTCACCCCGATGAAATATTCTTAGACTAGGTCCCTTGTGTTAGTTATTTTAGGGACATAAAGTGAAAATAACGGGAATGGGTAATTGGGTTATTGTTGGTTGATGAAAATTAAGTTAATTATTTATTGTGGGTTGAAAACCCTATATGCTCACCAGGCTCCGAAGCCCGACCCACTCAGTTTTATTTGTATTACAGGAAGTGGCGCGAGGGCGTAAGATGGATGAACCATCAAGTTGTTTTGTTTACAAGTCTGTATATGTATATATTTGTTGAATGACTTGTAATGTTATCGTTTATGCTTATTGGTCTGTATCGGAACATGACACCCCGAGTTTTGATTATATAATGAAAATACATTTCTTTTATGAAATGCTTTGGTAAACATTGTTTTATCATGCTTTGTTTTTGGAAACAAATTCCGCAACTCTTTCAAATCAAAAGGATTTACTCTGAATTTATTTTAAAAGCATAAATGAAAAAAAATCGGTCTTTTCTGGCTAAGATTTTGGGGATGTCACAGTTGGTATCAGAGCATTAGTTTAAGCGAACTAGGAATTTGTAGGATTTCTAGACTTAAACTTAGAATGCTAAGTGGAATTTTGAGATGTGTGTTTGTTATATTTTCGACACGAGCACTAGTTTATTTTAGGAAAGTTGCCTAAAATACCAACTGTGACATCCCCAAATAATATCATAAAGTTGCCTAAAATACCAACAAATAACAAATAATACCATATATGATATTATTTGTTTGGATCTATGGTCTGTTGCCGATCGGAT